TTTTTTATCGTTAGAGATAAAGTGGGTTCTATCTATGAGAAAAAAATTCAAAAATGACGGTTGTAATAGTAAAATAACGATCAAAAAATTGATTTTAATTGACTTTTTAGCTGTACTAAACAAGTTCTGATTTTGGGAAGAATAGGGTTCAGATGGAGGTGGGGGTGGAGGATGGGGTAGGGTGAATATGTAGATTATGCGTAATTAAGTTTTTATTAATTATAATTATTAAAACTTAATTATCACTTGATTTGTGAAATGAAATTTAATATCCTTATTTTATTGAAAGTTAGTTTTTTAAATGTAGGTTTCTAGGTAATTTTCCTATTTTCCAAGTCCATTATATGGCACGCACCTAACGGGCCAGCCCACAAGATATCTTAATTTCCATACAAAATGATTCCTGGGTTTTTCTCTTAACTCAATGAGTCAATCATGCCAACTATTATTAGAGCAAGTTCAACTAGATCAGCTTCAACTAGAGGGGGAAGCTGCCAAATCTCCTGGTGTTTTAAGTCCATTACCTGTCCCAAGTTACTCGATGCCATTATATAGTTTGGGATGCCATTTTATAATTTGGGTTTCTTGCATTTACAGTTGTTTTTTATGTAACGTATAATCTCGTTCAACTTCGTATTCACAATCACCAGTATCTAGCATTCCTAGAGACACAAGGTTCCTCGTCAACCCTGAGATGTACTGACTTGCAGAAAAACCATATACGGGCCATCCCACATTTTGAGTTTAATTGAGCTAGCCTTCGATTTTACAAAAACCATTGTTCTCCATTAGGACTGTACCAGTGTGCACCTCTTCATAGTCGAATAGACTGGCCCTGTTGAGTGTCATGTGGAAGGTATATATTCAGTATCCATTATCCATTCCTCATGAGTCTGTCCGTGGCTAGTAACAGTTATGCATTGCAAATTGATGCATCTCCAGTGTTGTTACCTCTTGGTGCTCTGTGTTTTTTCCTCCTTTTGAGGGCAGAAACCTGTGACGTGTTCCTCAATATGGCACAATGAATACAGGTCTTATCCCTTCTTGATTTAGACCTAGACTTTCGTCCCCTCATTCTCCATCTACCCAACATTTCCCTAAGCATCGCAAACCTCCCCAATTCCTCCTCTCTGAATATCGATTCAAGATCCTCAGGTTGCATAGTCTCCATGATGTCCTAAGCTGACAAGAATTCCCTCCACATCTTTAAAAGATTATGTAAGGGAATCTAACAATATGATGGCCTGAATTTGATCATCATTCTTCTCACTGATGTTTAAGCAGGCCATAATTCGAAACAAAAGAAAGCCTTCATCTTCGTCCTTCCCATATCAAAGTCTCTCGTTTCATAAAATTTTCAACATCAAACTTGGTTAACCCCAACAAAATTTCTTGAATCTTGAACATAACACTGGAAATTCTAGTTCTAACACCAATCTGTCTAGGTATCTTACCAAGATCCCCCAATAGAAGGTAAAGAACAAAAAGAAATGCAGATTAAGGACGCAAGACACTGCAAATTATGAATACAAGACATTCTCGCTGAACTAGACAAATCCCTCGAAAAACTAGTAGAAAAAAAGAATTTCCTAGAAAAATTTTCTTGCTACTGTGCCCCTCATTCTCTGAGGCCAAAACGAAAAGTGAGAAATGCAAAAAAATTTCAGCCTAAAACTGCTTGCTCATGGTGGCTGCAAACTGGTTACTAGCCAAACAGATGAAACTAACTACTACGGATTACCAATCCGACTGAATTAAACGACAATTAACCAACTAAACCATAGATGCTGCCCCTTAAATCTAAACAAGAGCACAGTAGACACCACATCAAAAGAGGGAGAGAGATGCTGAGCAGATGTCCAAAATAGGTTTTAAGCAAAATATATGGAGAAGAGGCCGGATTCCCAACAAGATAGAAAGCCTATCCTGGTTGCAAAATTGTCTAATTACATTGGATAGGATGAATTGAACCAAATAACAAAAAGGAAATCATGTAACTCTCCTAAGTTTGTCAAGAGCAAGATTTAATTTGTTTAAAATATTTTCAAGGCTATTATTTTTCTTTCGTGATGCTAACTAGAGACTGCAAAAGAGGAACAAATACAACAGACGAAAGAGAAGAATACAGATGTAGATTCAACATTGAAATAAAAGTAGTATGATTCATTCTTCTAACCTATGCCAGTAAAGGTTCCAGTGAAGGATTTAAAGCTGGTGCATGGAGCTCCATGCTGAATGTCACCAGCACCCCAACAAGTGCACAAATGGCTGGAACAAGACCTAATCCAAATCTTGTCACAGAAAAACAAAAATATAATGGACTGCAGTACTGCAGCCCTGGAGTAGAACCTGCATAATGATAACACCATTAAACCAAATATGTCACGTATGATTTACAATTGACCAATTGTAGATGCTTACTCTGGTAAGACTCGAGAGCACACAATGCCAACCCACATGATATTTTGTCGAGAAAGCTCAACGACCCATAAACGAAGGCACAGCCATTGAGATCTCTACCAACTAGAAAACTCTGCATGCTTACTGCAGTCACCTGTAACTCCATAAAAAATGTGCAGTAAGGAATAAGAAAAGCAGTAAGTATAATTCTTTTACCAAATATTCATCTTTTATGTTATATTACCACTCGTACTCGTTAGCATTACTAAAGTAGTATCTCTGTGTGAATGTGAGAGGTACGTTCTAGTTTGGAAGTTGTTCTACTCTGGTGTGAGGCTCTACTGTGTAGGGTATGCCTGATCATTAGTTCATTTGCACTTAGAAAATGTGACGATATTCCGAAAAATGAGGCAAACAGTAAATTCTGACATAAATATGAATCAAAAGAGGGAGTCTACAAGTGTTTTACATATATATTCTAAGATGGGTTAAATAATGATGTCACTCACTTAACTTAAATAGAAATTTCCCTTAGTCACCTAATGTTTCTCGTGTTCCAAAGTGATGGATGACGTTCGTTTTCTGTTTTTAATTTTTGCCATTCAGTTAAAATTCTCAAGTTATTGCGAAGGAAATGAAAGACCACGGCGATCAGGGTAAGCCTCAAAGGTCAACAAAAATGGCTACTGGATCAATTCTTGCCTTTGAAGTACCATTCACGTTGTAATACTAAACAAGGGAACAATAAAAGGAAAGAAAACTTTGTTCATACCATCATCAATGAATTTGCTGCTCCAATCACTACCGACAAAGCATATACTATAGAATTCATGCTTCTTGGCAGGAAGAATATTCCCAAACCACAAATTATCCATAGAAGTCCTCCAACAGAATAGAAAGCCTTTAACCGTCGACCGGTCCACCCAATCTCCTATATGAAACCAGGATTAATTAAAGATGCCTATAGAAGGGAAAAAGAAACAAGTGTACAAAGATATGAAAGAATATTTTTAGACAGCAATAAACCTGTAGGAAGATCGATACAATGAAGCTGCAGATATAGATGATTGCAGGAACCTATGCACGCATATTAAACATGAGTATAAGAAAAGGAATTTTGTCCATATAACTTCGTATAGGTATGGAGCTAATTGAATAATACCAAAGCTTTTGATGACTGTGCCATTTGCAGATCATTGATGACGTAGAAAGCAAGAAATGTCTGAGCCAACAAATTCGAGCAAATGAACAATTAAAAAAATAACCATTTCACTTTAATCGGATCCTCTCTTTCTAAGCAACACTATGGAAATGAATATTTGAAAGAGCTAGTACGATTTATGAACGGACCTGTGAAACATTTGTCACTAGTCTAGTGAGTACATAAACAAGTGCAACTTGGTGGTACAGAATTTTCTTAAACCAGTAAGCCCATGAAATTCTAGCATAACTTTTTGCATGAGCTTCTTTCTTCAATCTGCAATGGATATAACCTATAAGGATTTATAATATCTAAATTTGGTAAAAGAAAGAGGAAAGAGGCAGCAATTCAATCGAGCACAGGTCAAATTTCTTGAGAGTATCGAATATCTTAACAGAGGCATTAAAATAAAAAATCACGTTTCTATTTGAATTTTTAGCAGTTGATGCAAATTTATGATGAAAATATCAATAGAAAAACCATTTCCCTTTTAATAACATATGTGACAAACCTTGGCTCTCGAGTCCCAAGATGAAATACACACACAAAACAGCATCCAATGAAGATTGACAAATATGCTATCCAGCGATACTGATCAATCACAGAGAAGTAAGAACCTTTCCAAAAGGAATTTTCAGAAAAAGAGAACAGTATGTTAATTGGCACACCTGATTCTCAACATCGATAACAGTCACTGATGAGCTGATCTTAAATACCACAAAAGCAACTGCATATAGGCTAAGGTTGGCGACCTTCAAAATTATTAATTTCGATAAATATTAGTAAAGTTTTTTGGCTAGGATTGGGAGGAGAGAAAAGAGAATAACTAGTTACAGCATAAGAACTAACAAAGTACGTGTAAAATCATGAAGAGAACTCTTAACCATGGTAAAAGCATTGCGGCAGCTAGTCAAGACTACTCTGCTCGTAGAATTCAGCGTGATGCAATTCACCATTGACCTACAACATAAGCAGGATATATAATTCACTAACTTTAAATCTGGCCACTGGCGCTCGCACAGATAACAAGGGGAATGGAAGAGTTCGAGCACAGCATTATGAAGAAAATCAAGAAATCATGTCACAAAATCCAAGACACACGATCCCTAAGACAGATAAAACAAAGATTAGGAACTTGATGGTAAGGTGAATCAGGTGTACAGGTAGTATTTAAAAGGAAAAATAGTTTAAAATATTGTCTATAATGTGCCCTTTTTAGGAGAAAATACAAGTTTACGAAATTATAAATTGATAAAAATGAGTGGTAGATAAGTAAAAGTTATGGGACCTACGAAATGTTTGTTTATCATTAAAGTTTGACCCTGACCTTTTAATTATGAAATTGAAATTTAATCCAGACAAGTACAACATTGTCCAATACAATTTAGGCCCCGTTTGATCCACATTATTTGAAAAAAATACATTCTTAATCAGTAATTTAACATCATTTTAACCACTCACTTTTCAATAAAATAATATTACACACAAATTCAAAAATTTTCCTTATTTTTTAACCACATATTTTCATTAATACATTATTCAAAAATGCATTTTTCCAAAATAATGTGGCTCAAACAAGGGTTTAACATTGCATAGCAACTATGAACTAACTAGACCGAAGTAAGTCCTTACATGTGTGACACTTGAGTAGCTGCCCAGCCTACATTGAAGATTGCTGCAAACACACTATATCCAATAGTTTGCAGAGTAGATGAATTGGAGCCAAATATTTTGCAAGGCAAACAGCCACCAAAGACTGAAGAAAATGAAACAGCAACCAAGGCAGATCCCGCACCGTGCCAGATCTTAAAATGTCCAAATCTGTCTATCTATTATGAAAGAGAAATGAAAACAACAATATCAATATTTAAAGTTGAAATTCTTTTCTTCTGAATCAAGAATAAATCTCGTAGCTAAGAGAATAAGATCATGCAGCCATTTAAGTTTTGTTTCAAGACTTTTGCGATTTTGTATCTGCTGAAAGTGAATGCATAGATTTGTGGTATGTTTCTTAATAATCTACAAATACCATATTTCAATACTTGCTTAACTTAAAAATACACACAGGCATTATATAGCTTATACTCAATCTCTCCATCAGTAGAAGTAAAAAGATTTTCGACATGTATTCTTATATAAAAGAATTACATCCTCCAAAGTCCACTAACATCTTAGCCTTAAACTCTCCATTTTTACATTTTTTCCCCTATCGGAACATACCAGTTCACCTGCAACAATGGTTGTGAATCCATCAGCCATCTGTCCTGAAAGCATGACTATAGCAGCATCACTGTAAAACAAGAAGCCAAAATGGAACTCAAAATAGCAGGTAATGTTGGGAAAAAAGACCACCACAAACTAATAAATGCTACGAAAAATAAGAACAAGCAGAAGAGACAAAACACAAATTTAAGCGGTCTGCCAAAATCATCTACCACACCACCGTAATGGGCGAATAAATTCGAATAACCAAATCATCAAATTCAAACTCTAATCACTCTCTCAGCCCCAAGTCATAACAAAGATGGTAGAAGAAAACGTCGACCATTTACACCTGTCAGTTGTTCAACATTGTAATGGACAAGTATATGTTGGCATAAATTACTTCAACTCTCACACATTTTATATTTCAGCCTAACTATCCAATATACAGTCGTTAGGTGAACGCATTTACGTTCATTCCATAAAACAGCTAAGATCTACACATCTTTGTTACATTTTAGAGCAACTTAATATTTTGTCCAGAGGAAAATGTTTTTAACTATTTCAAACAAATTTATCCTCCATTGACAACACAAATGTGAAAGGGAATAAAAAAATTTAAGCTAAGAAAATTTTTTGGGGAACTTTGAAGATGAATCTCTTGTAAGCGTCCAAATTAATATGAACATTTACAAACAAAACAATAGCATTACTTTACTAACTTAGCTAAACGAAAGATTTTTCTCTATTAAGAAGGCACTCTAGCTGAAGGGACATTGGCTCGTGAAATTTGAACCTGAGTTTGCTACATCATCTCTGGTATCTTTACACAAGTTTCTATAGAATGCAACCACTAAATGTGGCCTGTACAACAGGACAAGTGCGGCTACTTCAGAATTTGAACTATGTCTCGAGGAAAGCCATCATAAGCAATAGAGGTTGCATAGTCAATAAATTTTGTAAAAAATGTTGTTATGACTATATCCAAGTCTTCCATGCCATACCACAAATACCATTAAAATGCAAAAGGAACTCAGACACAATATTAGTATTTTAGTTCACGAGGACTGCAAAATTTCCGTTTGTACGAGCATTATACGTAGCTTCTCACTCTCCCCTTTCCTCCACCAGGGCAATTACCCAGGCCTTTTGACTTTTAATCCACTATATGCCCCTAATTGCTACAAGCCACCTCCACATTCATATAGTGGACGGCAGCTCTCTTTATTTCCTATTGACAGTACATTTTTATAGCAATAAAAGACTGTGTGCCGACTTCGCTGTCGACCATTCAAATGCAATATAAATTATGAACAACTTGTTATTTTTTCATATGATTCCCTATAACAATATGTTGACAATGGAATTTTTCAATCACCCAAAAAAAAAAAAAAAAAGAAGTCTGGTTTGCAATATGCAACGATTAAAATAGAAATAAACAAGCTGGTAAGTTACAAACCTCGGGGACAGTCCAATATCTGTCAAGAAAACTAAGAGATATGTGAACCAACAGGCTGATGTAATGTCATTGAGCATATGCCCCACACCATAATAGACGACAGAGCACCTTCCAAGGGGCTTGAAGCTTGTTTCATCATCTCTAGCAACATCACCATCACCAGCCATTGTCTTGCTCAAGTTCGAGATGTTTTAATCAAGGGAAATCCTGCAAGATTACATATCGTTTAGGAACTGATTTTTTTCACCAGGAAAATGAACCAAAACTGGTGATTATCCTGTAAGATAACATGCCTGTTCTTGGACGTGAAGAAAAATACTTAGAATTGAGCTAATATATTAGACCGCGTGTTTTAACAGACGACTCTGTAATCCATCTTTGCAAGATCAATGGCATCCCCGAAATTGTTTAAAAGATCGTGAATATTTCTGGAGGGATATTGTTTACCAAATTGCCAGCGTTCAGAGATAAGCTGGAAACTGTTCTTAAAGGAGGAGAACGGAGATATCCATCATCAAGAAGTGTTCTAAAAGGCCGGGATTAGGCAACGAAAAAGCGCGACTACTGCCGGCCTATGCGCCAAAAGGCTCAAGCTTAGGTAAAATTAGGAGATCACTTATTGTGTAAATTAGAAACTGTCCAGAAGTTCTCTCCATCCATTAAAAAAAAAAAAGGAAAAAAAAAACATAGAACATAACTTCACAACAAAGCAAAGTACAGTCTTTTGACGAAACCGATGCACGCGGTTTCATAAAATCAAGACACGTAGTAATCCTTCTGTTACATAACATTAAAAGCACCTAAAACACATACATGTACATACATACATACATACATATGTAAATACCTTTGATCTTCATAACGAGGAAGAAAGAAGAACGTATACCTATAGGAAGGAAGTTTATGCAGAGCCCATCAACTTTCTCGGAATCAACAAAACAGTGGAGACCGGATTTTGATGTTAGGAGGTGCAAAATATATAATATATCTAACTATAAAAATTTGTGAAGGAGTTGGTAATCGGTGAAGATGAAGGCAGGCAGTTTTTCTCTCCTCTTGTATGCTTTTTGCCTCTTTCTTCTTAAATGCGCCAAAGCAGGAAAAGGTGAAACTAGGGTCAAACTTCAATTTCAGCTTTTTTTCATCTATTAAAGATAATTATTTTCTCACTACAATTTTTTTTTTTTTTACCATATTTTAATTCGATTCTTAACCTTTATTCATTATAATATTTAAGTCTCAACGATTTTTTATGTCATTTTTATTTTTAAACTTTCTATTAATTAACACATTTTATACTTGATAACAACTTTTTTTATGTACAAAAATCTGTTGAAATGAATTGAAACAACTTATTTCTCCATCATAGTTTTAAATAAAATATATGTAAATAGAAAGTACAAAAAAATGTTTTTCCCATGTTTCAAAACATGAAAACAAAACTAATTAATGAAAAATTAAAGATAAAAAAAATTAAAAAAATAATTGCTATAATTAACGGAGATTGAGAATTTTAAATGCAATCAAAATGTATCAAATAAAAATTACGAGGACAATATAATTATTCTTTATTAAAATATTGTGATACTGATGGCTGGGAAAGTCTGGGGAGGGGGAAAATTCATTTATATATTTAATAGAACTTTAAACTTTATTTGTTTTACATTGAATGCATTTTTGAATAGTGTATTGATGAGAAATATATGATTAAAAAATAATAAAAATTTTGTTATTTTATTAAAAATTTTGTGATTAAAATGATATCAAATCACCGTTAAAGAATATATTTTTGAAAGAAGATGAGTCAAATAGAGCCTAATAACATTTAAAAAAAAAATTGTATTAAAAAAGATTGCAGAAAAGCTTTTTGGAAAGTGACAATTGGGCGTGTAGTTGATGTATCAACTTAAGCCTAATTATTAATTAAAAAAAAAAGGTTGAATCTCAATTTTGAGGGTCCTCACCATCATGTCTCTAGAGTTTTGTAAGGGAGGTAAATTGCGGGATGTGCTCCAACAGATCAGGGAACAAGAGCAGTCTGTACATTGCGCCTACAAGAAATCCAATTCCATATTTCAGGAATCGAACCCCCACACCGCGACCACTAGCAAGATGTGAGATAACCTCACTCTTATCCTTTACACCATTAGACTATGCCCTGGGAGGCTAAGCCTAATTATTAATTAGTTGAGTTTAAGGTTGTTAGATTAGGCTCTTGTTTAGTTCTTATTATTTTTAAAATGTATGTTTTACCTTTTACATTTAATTATATACTTTTTAATAAAATAATATTATATGTAAATTTCAATTTTTTATTTTTTAATTATATGTTATCCATCAAATAATTATTTTAAAATATACTTTTGAAAAATCATCTAATCAATATTTGCATTGATGCCCAACATTCAAACAAGTGGCATCGTTGACCAATTATTTTATTGCAGAAAAATTTAAATCCTTAATGAGCATCGATATTTCAGCCTATGTTTGACTACTAATTTATAGATAAGGTATAAATTTATTGAAAACGAAATATTAATTTTAATTATATATTTTGTGAGATTCACCATTATTTCTCTTCATAAATTAATTTATAAATTTTTAATACGAAGGCTTAATCATTTGACGCGATATAAGAAAAAATATTCTTTTTCTCGTATTTGTGCAATTAAATAGACGCTACGTACACAACCAACGCCATTCCATTAAGAATTAGACAAAAAGGAGAAGAATTAAAATCATCATATTTTAAAACATATTCTGAAAATGTTTATACGACTTAAATTATAAATAAAACAAATGAGTCGGAAATATAGATAAAAAGTGATCTGATATACAATGTTCATTTCTAATACGACTAGTAAATGATTCAATCATTAATAAGCTTCATGATAAATAAAAAACAATAATGTCAAACTAGTAAATGATTCGATCAGTAATAATCTTCATAATAAATAAATAACAATAATGTCAAACTTAAACGAGGATAAAGTAGAGAAGAGGAAACATCAAACTTAGAGAAAGAATTTAATTTGCTTTGTTAAAAATTAAATTTTCAGTAGATTTTAATAAACATAAAGAAATGTGATATTAAAAAACTTGAAAAAATTTACGAGCTCCGTGTAAGATATTATTAAAATTAATTATTGACTTTGATTTAAATTCATCATTGTTTTTAATTGAATTAAACTAAGATAGAACTTTATACATAAGCCATGCTCACTGCTTTATAAAATCAAGACACGTAAGACAGTATTTATCTTCCGTTACAAGGAGAAATTAATCAGTTTATTTCACATACATAGAATAATTATAATTAATAATTTAATATATTTATTACATTGAACTATAACAAATATTAAACGGACAAGAAATTTAAAAAAAATAAAAAAATATTTTTCTTGTTTTCAATAAAGATATGATCATGTAACCAAAAGTAGGAATATATTTTCCACAAAAAAAAAAAAAATCAATCAAATAGTATAAAAGTATGAATTTTGACAGAAAAATGACATTTTTCATGAAAAGTATTGGCAATCAAACGCACCTTTACTATTACAAAAACTCTCTTTCGTTTTACAAGTTGTGAAAACTTTTCATAAGGATTATTTCTATATATAAATTATATTTTTCTTTTCTTTTCTCAGGTTATTATTGTAATAATGTTTACATAAATTACATTATAATACTTTTATGATACTTTTGACGAACAAAGTAATGAAATGCTTCTAAATTAAATTCTAAACGAAATATATTAATATGTCAATCTATTATAAATGCAATACTTATTATGTTATTAGTACATAGTTAATCTCAGCAACGTTATCTGAAGTTTGCAATAAAATTTAGAATGGTTTCTTACCCTATAAATTCTACCTTGGACAGAAGCGATATTATATTTTGTATTCCGCATGAAATAGAGATCAGGCTCCATTAATAAAGTTGTATTTTGTATTACGTTTTTTCAGTCCACTCAGAAGATTAATTCCTAACACTCACTCTTCAATTTTTTACCCTTTATACAATTGATTTCCCTAATTCAGTCATACAAAATGTTGTGTTATAAATTGGTTGTTCAAAATAAGATGTGGGAAGGATGAATTGGAGAAGAAAAGGAAAAATGGAAAATGTGTCAAGCAAATGGACCTATACAACCGCATAGGTTATAGTGTAAAAAATGTCACCGTTGTGGCTGTTTTTGACCTTTTTTGGTTTGAATTCGGTAGCCTTTCATTTTTGGCACCACTTCGTGGGAACTGATCAAGACCTATAAATAGGTGATCATGTAAAATCAATTATTTGTGACCCATGTAATATTAAAGAATTAATTAAAGGTGATTAATATTACTAAAATCCTATTGGCCCAATTGAGAAATGGTAGTTTTATAATTGTCTACTTTGATGGAAAGTTGAGAGTTTTATGGCACAAATGAGAATGTCTCTCTCTGCCTATAAATGTGAATGAAATTCATCAATTAATTCATTCAATAAAAGAGAGGAAAAGTGAGAGAACGGTTTCTTTAATTTAACAGTTTATTATTTTGCAGATCTAAAATTCTCAATTATTGCCATGGATCAAGGTATATTTCTTGATCAATTAAAATTTCATATGTGAAAATCATGAATTCTAAAGATCTTGGTATTAGGGTTTAATTTCTTACATGTGGTATCAGAGCCAAGTTGAAGAATTCTTGATTTTCCTTAAAGATTTACTGTTTTTCGTATGGGATCTTTAATTTCTTATTAATTTATGGATCAAATCATTACATCAAATCCCATTTGCTATCTACGTCGATTAATTGGTTTTTCCATGGATCTGATTTGGGAAGACTATATCGTGTTCAAATTAATTGGCTTTTCCATGCATATGAGAGAAAGAGACAGACCTTCAAAGTCCATTATTTTGGCTATGTGTTCCTGTTTGTCATTATTAATCATTCAAAGTTTAAATAAATAAATAATTAAATGAGGGGCTGAAACGTGTAAAATCGAAATTGTAGAAACCAATTAATGCATGAAAACATTTGCAAGACACATACTGTTTCTTTCTATATTCCCATGGCCTAATTAAACCCCATCCTTGGAAAATCAAATGAGGCTGACAATTTGTACCTAGAATGCCGTACTGTAGGTATATGTTTCTACCATATATGTTGAATTGTTTAAGAAAATGTCAATCCCTGGTATTGGTTTAAGGCATAACATTAGCTGAAGTTTATGCGTTTGTGTTCAATATCGGTGAAGTACATATATATTGACTGTTTTTGGCAATTGGACATTTATTGTTTCACATTTTAATTTGAATTATGAATTAAATTAGATTATGTCTAGTTTAATTACTCACATTATTCACATTATATTTTTGTAATTAATGTTCGATTGATGTTGTTTGTTAGTCACCAAAGTGGCCAAACATTATAGTATTTTGAACGCTAAATTACATAATTTATTTATCAATTACTCTTGATAGTTTGATGCTTGTAAATGAAAATGACTTTATTATTGGTGTCAAGAGTATATTGACGTTCAAAGATTATAAAATTATTATGGATTGCCCAAAGGTTGATAAGTTAATTTTGTTAATCTTGAACATGATCGTGGTTAATTGATTTACTAGGTCGGATGTGTTTTGTATATCCA